TGCGGTGAGCTGTGATGGTGCCACTGCACTCCAGCCTCAGTGGCAGAGTGGGACATCGACTCAAAAAGAAACAAAAAGGCTGACCAGATGCATTTCTACTGGAGCCAATAAAAAGCCAATGACAAATGTTATTTAGGACTTCCCGAGATCTTGAGCCGGGCGTGGGGGATATTTGAGTGGAGGCTGGACTGGCAACGTCCCCGGGTTGATTAAGGTATTTCTTGATACAGAGTGAACAATTCCCTGGCCAGCTAAAGTGGTCTCCTGTTGGACTTTGGGCCAAAACACTTCACATACTATGAACTAAACACGCACCACCACCACACACACACACCTTTGTTTGTAGAGACAAGGTCTCATTATGTTGCCCAGGCTGGTCTCGAATTCCTCGTCTCAAGCGATCCTCCCACTTCGACCGCCCAAAGTGCTAGGATTGCAGGCATGAGGTCAAACACGACAAATTTTAAAGGGCACTGTGGTCTGCCATTTGACATGGTGGAAGGCCACACACAGTCAATGACAACATGAGCACACCCTGGCTGTGACCCCAAGCAGGGTTGGAAGCCTAGGGAGAGGTCCTGAAGGTGCCAATCCAGGATGTCTTTTTCCTCCAGGCTCCATGCCCCAGCACGCAGGTCATCCTGAGGCTGTGGGTCACGTGTTGTCCGCATATGTTGACCACACCTTGCAGCTGTGCATAGTGAATTTTTTTTTCTTTTTTGAGTCAGAGTGTCACTCTGTCAGTCAGGCTGGAGAGCAGTGGCATGCTCAAGGCCACCACAGCCTCGACCAGCTGGGCTCAGGCAATCCTTCCGCCTCGGCCTTCCAAGTAGCTGGAACTACAGGCACGCTTCACCATGCCCAGCTAATTTTTGATTTATTGTAGAGATGAGGTCTTGCCAAGTTGCCCAAGTGGGTCGCGAACCCGCGGGCTCAGGCAATCCACTCACCTTGGCCTCCCAAAGGCGTGGGATTACAGGCTGAGCCACTGAGCCCGGCTTGGTTTCTTTTTTATAAAAGTTTTTGGGGCAACCCCTTCGGGGTCCCTCCCACTGCAGGAGCTTTTCTGTCCTCTCAATAAATCCTGCTTTCTAAAAAAAAACAAAAGAAAAAAAATTTTTTATAGGGACAGAGTCTCACTCTGTTGCCTGGGCTAGTCTCAAACTCCTGGTCTCAGGCGATCCTCCTACTTTGGCCTCCCAAAGTGCTGGAATTACAGGCAGAGGCACTGTGCCCGGCCTCCAGTTTTTATTTTTATTATTTATTTATTCAATTTTTGAGTCGGAGTCTCACTCTCTGTCACCCAGGCTGCAGTGCAGTGGCATGCTCACGACCACTGCACCCTTGACCTGCTGGGCTCAGGTGATCCTTCCGACTCAGCCTTCCAAGTAGCTGGTGCTACAGACACGCACCACCACACCCGGCTAATTTTTTGATTTATTGTCGAGACGAGATCTCGTCAAGTTGCCTGGGCTGGTCTCGAACACGTGGCTCAGGGAATCCTCTCACCTCGCTTCCCAAAGTGCTGGGATTATAGGCATGAGCCTACCGCAGCTGGCCTATTTTTATTTTGTAATTATGGTCATTTAGGATTTTGATAGAATGTCAGTCTTACAGAGAAGTTGCCAAAGTAGGACAAAACACTCCTGGGGACCCTTCACCTGGATTCCAGAGTTGTTGATTAATTAGCATTTGCTGTGTCAGGCATATCTGAGAGTTGATGGCAATCCCGTGACCCTTCACTCCACGTCTCTCAGCGTGATTCTCCGAGAATGACATGCCCCTGCAGAACCACAGAGCAGGGATCAGAACCAGGAAGCTCATCGGGCCACCCTGAATTCTTCTTTGCTCAGCTAATTTTGATCACCCCATTAGAGTGTTTTGAATTTCTTAGCATTTATATCTGAGCCTATAGTTTATAGTTAATTATGCAGTTATTTTTCCTTGAGTCAGAGTCTCACTCTGTCGCCCAGGCTGGAGTGCAGTGGCTCATGGCCACTGTAGCCTCTACCTGCTGAGCTCAGGCGATCCTTCCGCCTCAGCCTTCCAAGTAGCTGGAACTACAGGCATGCGCCACCGTGCCTGGCTGATTTTTTGATTTATGGTAGAGATGAGGTCTCACCCAGTTACCCAGGCTCGAACCCATGGGCTCAGGCAATCCTCTCATCTCAGTGCTGGGATTATAGGTGTGAGTCATGGTGCCTGGCCTGGAGGCTTTTTTTTTTTTTTGAGTCAGTGTATTACTCTGTCGCCCAGGCGGGAGTGCAGTGGCAGGATAACGGTTTACCGCAGTTTCGATCTCCTGGGCTCAAGCAATCCTCCCACCTCAGCCTCCAGAAGAGCTGGGACTACTACAGGCCAGGTGCATGCCACCACGCCCTACTCATTTTTTTCTTTGTAGAGACACCATCTCACTCTATTGCCCAGGCTGTGACTCTATTTTAGATGCTAATCTGGGCCGGGCTCGGTGGCTCAGCCTGTAATCCCAGCACTTTGGGAGGCCAAGGTTGAGTGGATTGCCTGAGCCCACGGGTTCGAGACCCACCTGGGCAACTTGGTGAGACCTCATCTCTACAATAAATCAAAAAAATCAGCCGGGCATGGTAGCGCATGCCTGTAATTCCGGCTACTGGGAAGGCTGAGGCAGAAGGATCGCCAGAGCCCAGCAGGTCGAGGCTGCGGTGGCCGGGAGTGGCCACTGCACTCCAGTCTGGGCGACAGAGTGAGATTCCAACTCAAAAAATAAATAAATAAATGAATAAATGCTAACCTGCCATGTGACTTCTGGTTAGCCCCAAGTCTTGGAATACCTCCAGAATGTCTAGTTGATGTATTACTTTTTATGTAGACACTTATTCACCAGCTTTTCCTCCTAAACGACCCTCGACACAGTCGCATATGTCATAGGCCCTGACTGCCCGTAGCCACCTCCCTCCTCCTTCCCAAACGCATATGCTTTCCCCCAGATCTCAGCCCTGGCTCTGGGGGGTTGTGGGGTGTGATTTACCTGCCTTGCAGTCACTCAAGACCCTTCTGTAAGTTCCCCTAATAAATCATCCTGTACCGACAAACTGGATTTGTCTGTCTTGTTCTCTGGTTGCTAGGCTCCTGTCGCCTTTGGGGACCACTTTGCATTTACGGCCTTTTCATGGAAGACCATTTATGTCCATTTTTCAGGTTGGATCACTGAGGCTCAACTCCCACTATTTTCCAAGAGAAGCAGAGAGGGGCTGTGGCCGATGGTCATTGTTGGTGTAGTTCACCTGGGGTACACAGCACACACACAGCTTCCTAGGACATTCCAAGGTCAGGGAATGGGCTTTTTCTTTTTTTCTTTTAAGTGACAAGTTCTCTTTCAAGCATTGACAGTCACTTTTTTTTTTTGAGTTGGAGTCTCACTCTGTCACCCAGACTGGAGTGCAGTGGCGGCTCCCAGCCACCACAGCCTCAACCTGCTGGGCTCTGGCGATCCTTCCACTTCAGTCTTCCAAGTAGCTGGAACTACAGGCGTGTGCTACCATGCCCAGCTAATTTTTTGATTTATTGTAGAGATGAGGTCTCGCCAAGTTGCCCAGGTGGGTCTCGAACCCGCGGGATCCGGCAGTTCACTCACCTCAGCCTCCCAAAGGCGCAAGATTACAGGCTGAGCCACCGAACCTGGCAAAAGTGCTGAGTATACAGGCATGAACCATCACACCCCACCTCTTACTTTTTTCCCAGATCCCAATTTGGTCCAAGGAAAGCTTCTCGATGCCAGATGAGAATGAATCCCCACCGTAGATGCCATCTTGATGGACCTATAGTCATCATGTGTACCTCATGGTCATTTGGGATGAGAGGTGACATGTGGAGGCTACAGGGGAGAGGGCTTTGGGAACAGATTTTCTTCCACTTACAACAATGCTCAGAACAGGCTGTGACTTCTTCCTTCACTGGCCATTGGTGGAGATAGGAGTGATATCTGGAGCAGCTGCAGCCACCTTGGGACCATGAGGGACAGTACAGCCGCCACACCTATCTATGACATAGCTAAGGAACAGTGGAACCTGGTTCCCTGACAGCCCTGAAGTCATTCTGCAGTGTCACTTATTGTTTTCGGTGATAATACACTTCTAAAAACTTGTTTAATCCCAGGTTTGGGTTTTCTCTCCTTGTGGCTGAAGGAATCAAGAAGATGGAAAGATGCCAGCCCTCAGTCTCCCAGAAGTGAGGCTTGAACCTTTTTATTTTTTATTTTTTGAGTTGGAGTCTCACTCTGTCACCCAGGCTGGAGTGCAGTGGCAAGCTCACGGTCACCCCAGCATCCAGCTGCTGGGCTCTGGCAATCCTTCTGCCTCAGCCTTCTTAAGTAGCTGGAACTACAGGTGCATACTACCATGCCCAGCTAATTTTTGACTTATTGTAGAGATGAGGGCTCGCCAAGTTGCCCAGCCTATTCTCGAACCCGTAGGCTCAGGCAATCCCCTGTCTCTCCAAAGTGCTGGGATTATGGGCTTGAGCCATCGTGCCTGGCCAATGCTTGAATCTTAAAACATGAGGACTCTGGCCAGATGCAATAGCTTCCACATGGAATCCTAGCATTTTGGGAGGTTGGGGTTGGAGGATCGTTTGACCCCAGGAGTTTGAGACCAGCCTGGGCAACATAGCGAGACCTCGTTTCTACAAAAAAATTAAAAAATTAGCCAGGCCTGCCGGCACACTGCTGTAAAAACTCAAGCAGGAGGATCACCTGAGCCCAGGAGGTTGAGGCCATGGTGAGCCATGATCATGCCATTGCACTCCAGCATGGGCAATAGAGACCCCAACTTAACAACAAAAAAGGCCAGGCGCGGTGGCTCACACCTATAATCATAGCACTTTAGGAGGTCAAGGTGAGAGGATTACCTGAGCCCGGAGCAACAGAGTGAGACTCTAACTTAAAAAAAAATAAAAGAGGACTCTAGCAGGTAATGTGGCAATAGGGTTTCAGAGGGAACAGGATATACACAGACACTGTGGTATTTGTTCCAGAAAGTGTATTTGGATGGGACTGGAGCACAGAGCAGGGCAAGGAGCACTGTGAGGTGAGGCCAGGAATGTAGGCTGGGCTGACTTTCAGGGTCTATACATGAGGCTGAGGGGCGGGACCTGGTCCTGGGGCGGGGTCAGCTCTGAGCCCATTCTGGGTCCTGGAGGTCTGAGAGGAGGCTTTGATGAGGAGGCTGGAGCCAGGGGCACAGGCAGGGTCCGAGCTCCTGGTGTCGGAGCTGTCCAGCTGGGCTGAGGGTCCCCTGCCCCTCAGCCCCCTCAGCCCCCAGCTATGGAGAAGACACTGTCTCAGAGGCATCGCTGGTCTCACGGAAGGTTGGAGAAGCTCTCGAGGGACCACCCCAAGCCCCCATGTATCGGACGAAGCTCGACCTGGAGCGGCAGGTGGGCTCCAGCAACTGTGGGGACACAGGGTCCTGGAGCGGCCACAGGCCAAAGCCACCTGGGAAGGCAGGCTGGGAGCTGGCCATCCCAGGAGGGGCTTTCCTAAGCGCAGCTGACCCAGTGAGTTCCTCACTGGCAAGAGAAGACAGGCCCCTTGCGGGGACAGAGGAAAGGTTCAAGACTCACAAGGCTGTGAAAGTTGAGACAGGCAGACGTGGGGCCTGGCAGCCATGTGTGAAATGCCACCCCAAGTGCCCCCCCAGAGGCCACACGTGTGCGGCCCTGGGGAAGGCTGATTGTGCCATTTCACCCAGCTCTCATCGGCTGCCTTGGAGCCTCAGACCCGGGAGGGCGGGTCCCTGTAGGGTCACAGGTGCTGGGAATCTGACTGGGGCACCTCAGGGGGCTGCTCAGGAAGCTTCTTCTCTGAGGTGTCCACATTCTTCTTGTCTTCGATCAGAGGCGGGGCAGGCGCATTGTCTGGAAAAGGAGGGGGGTGCCATTGGACATTCCATCTCCCTCCTTCCCAGGCAGCCAGGAGGTCCAGCCCCTTTTCCCTCAGACCCAGGAGTCAAGACCCCCAACCCCTCCCCCTCAGATCCAGAAGTCCTGGCTTCCAGCCCCTGCCCCCTCAGACCCAGGAGTCCAGACCTCAGCCCCTCCCCGCTCAGACCCAGGAGTCCAGACCCCGGTCCCTCCCCCCTCAGACCTGGGAGTCTAAGTCCCAGTCTCTTCTCCTTGGGCCCCAGGCCCAGTACCTGTGTCTGGGTGGAACTTGAGGTGTCCCTCAGGGTCGGAGGCCGGGACATTGTGGCCCTGCTGCTGCTGTTTCCTCTGCTCCATATGAAGAACGGCCTGCCGGTGGAAGTGGGGATCGCACAGACAAGAGGGCACGACGCTGGCATTTGGTGATGCTCAGGCGTCAGTCCCCAGACTGAGATCCCACAGAACCTGCTAAGCGGTCACGGGCCAAGATCTTCTCTCTGGGCCTCAGTTTTTCTCCCACTCAGAGTTGGGCTGAATAAGAGTTAAGGATCCAGTGCTCATCTCTGTCATGGCTTGAGGCCTATCCAGGGACAGGGAAGCCCTCACTGTCCCTGGCTGAGTTGGTCTTCCTCCTCCTCCTGGGCCTTCCCCCTCCCATGCGTGGCCTCACTGCCCGTATCCAACATGGTAGCCGCAGAGCTATCGGGGATGGGAAAACGCCTGCCCTTACTCAAGCAACACCTGCCACTCTACTGGTGATAAACACGGTGGCCGCAGCCCTTCCCAGCCTCTGGACACCCATGTGGCCAAGGACAAGCGCCACCAGGGAGGCCAGAAGCAACTTCCCCCTGGTCACCTGCTGCAGCTCTCTCTTCTGGGCCTCCAGGCGGTCCTGGGACCGCCCTAGAGCCTCGGTCTCCTGGCTGAGGCGCTGGGCCTTGGCATTCAGCTCTGCCTCCCGGGCAGCCAGCTCCTCCTCGAAACGCCTCAGCTCTTCCTCGGTGTAGGCGGGGTGCATCTCCACTGTCTGCAGGGGCAAGGACCAGGCCATCAGTGGGGATGACTTAGCCTTGGCTCACCCGTGTTGGAGAAGGTTGTGCTAACTGAGGCGGTTTAGAGAATGCAGGGAGGGAAAAAGACCTAGAGATGTGGAGAACAGAGACCAGAGGCAGAGGGAAAGAGACCCAGAGAGAGGGGAAAGGAAGTCCAGAGAGAGGAAGAGTGAGAGGAAGAGCAAGAAAGAGAGCGAGAGCGAGAGCGAGAGAGAGAGAGAGAGAGAGAGAGAGAGAGAGAGAGAGAGCGCGCGAGAGCGAGCGAGAGAGAGGGAGAGAGGGAGAGAAAGAGAGAGGGAGGGAGGGAAATGGCCAGAGACTGGGAGAAAGGTTAGGGCCAGATAAATGAGATAATCAGGACCCAGAGTGTGCCCCTTGTCCTCACCTCCCAGCCTTCCCCAGTGTCTCCAAACTCCTTCCTCTGGGTGGATGCCAGGAACTCCTCCAGGGTCACGAGGCGGTCCTGGTTGGTGTCCACCTGGGGAGCCGGGTAAGTGACAAAGCTGGGGGCCCATCCCCCCCTCACCCGACGCCCCCTCACCCGACGCCCCCTCACATTCTTCATCACGTGCTCCCGCATGCGCAGCCGCTCCTCCTCCATCTCCCGCATGTCGTCATCCTCGTTCTTTGGGTCATACACCTTCTCCAGCTGCAGGGACAAGCGAGGGGCAGGAAGCATTAGGAGGCCCTAGGCTATGGCCCGCCTTATACGCACAATAAACTACAACTCCCAGAAGGCCTTGGGGGCAGGCTGACACCCCTGGCTGCCTCTTGCCCCAAGGCCTGCTGGGAGTTGTAGTTTCCACCGGGAGGCTTCAAGGGAACTGCTAGGCTCCCTGATGGGACACGTGGCTGATCCGGGCGTGCCCGCTGCACTCAAGGCTTCCAAGACGCTCACCTCCTTGGTGAAGAGGGCCTCCAGCTCCTGCTCATCCAGGACACCATCGCTGTTGATATCTGAAGGGAAGGAGATAACAGGGGTCTCAGGGGACTGAGGACAGGACGGGTCAGGTCCCTGGAGATGCACTTCTGGGTTGACATGGGGTCTGTCATCAGCAGGCAGGTAACTAAGGGTCTCCAGTGGCAGTGGCTTCAGCATCCTACTGGGCTTGTTGCTAGGGCAGCCCATTGCCTAGCAACCATGGCCCCCCGAGAGGGAGGAGATCAAGGTCAGGCATTCCTGGAATGTGCATGGGCCCACGGTCATGCAGGATGGCTCTCGGGTCTCAGCAGCTGCCATTCTGGGCACAGGGTCCTCCTGAGGGTGTTAGGAACCTGTGCCTCCCAGAGAACTGGTGCTGGAAAGTCTCTCCTGCTTATTTAGCTTGTGCAGTTGCAGGGCTCCAGTGGGCCACACTCACGGTCCCTACCTCCATGCCCCACCTCCTCTGCTCACTCAAAGCACTGACCTTGCTCCTGCTGAGGTGGCCAGGAACCCTGATTCTGCAAACCCGATGGTTAATTTTCAGCCTCTGTCTTACAAGTGACTTTCTGCCCTGGGCTTCCAGAACATCATTCTGTCCACTCTGGCTGCCCTTCAGCCTCCTTTGCTGGCTCTATCCTCTTCCTGACTTCTACCTGCTGTGCAGCCCTGGACAGGAGCCCAGTTAACCTTTGGACCTGCGCTATCGCTATCCAATATCGTAGCCACAGCCACATGGGCTGGGTTTTTTTTTTTTTGAGTTGGAGTCTCACTCTGTCACCCAGACTGGAGTGCAG